CGTGCCCGGGCCGGGGGCGCAGCGTCGCGGCCGCCGAGCCCGGCTCTTCCCGGCTTCGCGTTCCCAGTGCGGCGGGGGTCGCGTCTGTTCGGGACGCCGGCAGCTCCCGGGCGGCCGCAACTCTCAGGTTCTCCCGCCGCAGCCAACCTCGTTGTCTCCTGGCTCAGTGCCACCGCGGTGCCCGGGCTGTGAAAGGCAGGTTGGGTTAAAATTCAACTTCTGACCTGTGACCCTGGGCGTCCTGCTCCCTGACTTGAATGGGGGACAGTGTTTGCTTTCGCCCCAGGACCTCCCCAAACCCAGGGAAGGAGTCTTTCACTGCTCTCGGGGGCCTCTCGGGGGCACCCGTGCGGGGTGACACCTGTCCCTGACTGTTCGGGTTTCCGTTCTGGCTTCCGACGTCCAGTTATAAAGGCGCTCGAGTCCCAAGGCTCTGCAGAGGACGGCACCCGCTAGTCCCTGTCCGCAGCGGCCGGATTTAGGACCCTGGGCGGCCATTTGGAAATGGTGTGTTGAAAGAAAATGATTCAGTCCGATGTACCTTTGCACTGGACGGTGGGGCGAGGCAAAAGAGCACCGTGGTGGGAAAAAGTGAACTCAGTTTGAGGTTTTTGATTTGGAGAGATTGTGGGTGACTTTACCATTGGCGCCAGAACACACGCTTATATGGTGCCTGTAGCAACCTCAGTTGGGGTAAGAGTTGAAAAATAAAAAATAATTGATTTTATGTTGGGAAATGTTGATTTGAAAGGTAGCAAATTAATAACAGTAGTTAAATAGCACAGAAATCTATTGTATAATCCATGATTTCACCCCCAATATCATCATCTGCACTAAGCAGGATAAATCCATTGCCAGTAAGAGCCAAACAGATGGCACGCTATTAGAAACTATGGATTTCCCGAGTAGTTCTGTTTTAATGTGATGAGCTCTTATATGGTCCCATTACTAAATCACAGTCATTAAATAATCCGAGTAAAACGATGTTAGGAGAAAAAACTCCAACAAGATTGCATACCTGAGCAATTTTATTTAGTACTACTATTACTACTACTAATAATAAAATATTTTACTTCTTGGGTTTTACCTTAGCCTCTAGATGCCTCAGTCAGTTGTTGAGGGGAGGTGCTAATCAGACCAAGATTTATTCCTAAAGTTTGTTCTTATTCACAGCCAAACTGTACTGTACCATCCTTCTCAGTGTGATTAGGTCTATGCAGAAGCTCAGGAGTCAAGCTGGGTTAGACTGTGGATGGATCTGAATAAATTCACCAACAGCTCACACTGCTACTGTAACCTAGGGATGATGAGTTATTGGTATCACCACTGCACATGAAGTCAATATGTATAAATATTTATCTACCTTATTAAATTATGATTAGTTCATTGATTAATTCCATCATTAAACTAATGGAAGAAGTTCTAAAAATTTTCCTTCCAAAAAAAGTGTCTCTAAAAAGAGGTAGCCCAGTAATGCTTACCTGGGTCCTAGTTGCAACTCTGATACTCACTTTGGATGAAATCAGTGACCCTCTGTGGAAATCAGTTTCCTTTTGTGCCTCCTCAGGAGTTTGATTAGATGATTCTGACACCATACAGCATTAGCAGTCTATAATTCAATTAATTAAAGTTAGGACTCAGTTTGGGGTCACTTACTGGGAGATTTTCCAGATCATCCCTCCAGAAAAAGACTGCTTTGGTGCCCTTTGATGTGTTCTAAATTTACTCACTGCTTTGGCCCCATGAAAGCATTTATCACACTCTGTTGCATTTGCCTCCCCGTTGAACAGAGCTCCTTGAGGGAAGAGACCATTTCTAAATTCATCTTTGAATTCTCAGTGCCTGCCATAGTCCTTGAGTCATAGTAGGAACAAAAATTAAGTTAGTGTAAGTAAACTACAGATGGCAGTAACTTAAGCAATGTTAAAATATAGGGATTTTGTATTAAACTGAGGTACATAACAGTTCATAGATTCACAACATTTTTGGTCCTGAAAAGGGTGGTAGAGATCACATAGGCCAGTGGCTCTTAACTTTTCTTTCCCTGCACACTTGACAGATTCCCATCAGTAACAATAGCTCACCCAGGCTGTAATTTCTAACCCAGAGGGATTGCGACAGGTGGAGAAAGGAGAGGAAGAGACAAAGCCTCCCAAGGGCATTTCAGCAAACCTGAATATGCAATCCATAATTTTAGAGCTGCTGCCTTTTTCCTAGTACCTTCATTTTACAAATGAAAAACATGACAGAAGTGATGGTGGCGATGTTTTCAAGGTTACTGTACTATTTAGTGGGAGATTTGATGTTAAAATCTAATTCTTGTTTGTTGTCCTTTGATGCCATAGATTGATACATCTGGAATCTTCAGGGCAAACATTTCAATCAGACGAATCAAAGCTATGGATTGAAGTTAAGGTTTACTCCTCCCCAAATTCAAAAAATGTAATCTGAAAGTAAGAGGCTCAGATGTGTGCACCTAACTTCTTGGGTCTCCCCTGGAATGCAAGCCTTTTCAAGGTCCAGGCTGGGCCTTGTGACTTAAGGCTCTCGTGGCTCTGTACATATCCTAAACCCTTTTCCATCTTCCATTAAGACCTCAGATTAACCCTGTGGGGACCTGCGGGTGGCTATAGCCAGAGTTAGGTTTCTGTTCACTCTAGTCCCAGTCCTTGATATTCTTCACTTACTTTATGAGTGTCTACTATAAGCTAGACCCTATTGTGGAATTAGTATACACTGATGTTCTAAATGGCCATAATTCTACTTTTCATGGTAATTAGAACCTACTGGGGGAAGGAGATTTAAAAAAACACACACAAGTAAACCATTCATTCATTCATTCATTCACTCATTCAATATTCATTTATCGCCTACTATATGCAAGATACTACAGGAATGCCAGAAACGAAGCTTCTACTTTTATGGTCCTTAAGAATCAGTGGAGGAGACAGATAATAAGTAAGGGATTAATTAATTAATTTAACAAATAAGTATTGAGTGCCAGCTTTAATGTCAAGCATTGTGGCAGTGCTAAAAGAGATAAAATCTCATGGCATTTACATGCTAATGAGAGTCACACAATGAACACATACATATACAACTATAAGTGCTAGATAGAAGAAATAAAACTGGATAAAGAAAGTGATAGGGGCTGCTGTTTTAGATATGCTAGTCAAGGAAGGCCTCCTGAGTTGGTGACATTTGAGAAGAGCCCTGTAGAAAATAAGGAAGGAAACCTGCAGATATATGAGGGAATGTGTTGAGGAGGAGGAACTCACATGTACATCCTGAGAACATCAAGGAAGTCAGTATGGAAAAGTGAGAGGGAAGGGTAAAGAAAGAAAATGGTATGCATGAAGTTGGTAGCCAGAGGGCAGATGATGTAATTCATAATTAGGATTTTAGATTTTAGTTGAAAATATGAAGAGTTCTGAAGAAAATAAACATGTCTTTGGGATAGAGAATAATGGGGAAGGACCTATTTAGTTAGCATTGCTCAAGGAAGGCTCACTAAGAAAGCAAAATTTAAACTGAGTTTTGATGTATTATAATAATATGATCCTCAGGGAAGGCATTGTGGAGAGATGGAAGAGTATACATAAAAGTAGTTTCACATTTACAACTTGGTTACCATCCACTTAGTACATCTATAACCAAGAAACTGATTGAAAATTAAAATTACCAAGGAATAACACTTTTGAGTATGTATACTGGGGTAGAGAATTTGTTTGTGTATGCCAAGGAATTCTATAGATCTGCTGTTCAATTCTTTTTATTGCTAGGCTGAAACATCATATATTTTGATTGGATTTTCAAAGATATACTGGGCACTGTAATTTACATATCACTATGCATAAATCTACATTTTTAATCCAAGTGGTCATACTATGAGATATATTCATTTTCAGTGTAATATTTTGTGTTAGACAGTAATATAGGAAGTAGTACATGTAATTTACCCTCGTGGCAGAGAAGATGCTGATAAGGAGATTAGAGCGGAGTTCTTCTCTTCCAGACATTAACATGTTCACAGCAACTTTGCCCTGCATCAGAGGTTAGCTTGCGCAGATTTTAATCTCTAAAACCAGGAATGACCTTCAGCTAAAGTCAAGGGAACAAAACAGAATGCAATCCATGACACTTAACACCTTCACATTAAAGGACGTAGGAACGATTTACTGTATTAAAGATTGCATGGATTTAGGCCCTTTCTTCAGTACAGTTGCTCCAACTCTCCTTCACTTTTCATCTCAAGGTCAGAAAAGATAATTCAAAAGAATTCTCCAGAATTTCACTTTTGCTTATC